ATAATACTCATCAGGGCTGTTTTGCATCAACGATTCAGAAATATTTGATACAGTTCATTCAATACAAGCACAAACAAATGAGTTGCTGTCACCTCCCACGACATCCTGGAGCTTCGCCTATTCTTCAAAACAAATACACATCACCACAAATCAATAAATATTCTTCATTTTCGTGAACCAGTCATAAACGCCTTGAAACTCTGATGACATTTGTCTCGTGATTTGTGGTGATGTGTATTTGTTTTGAAGAATAGACGAGCTCCAGGATGTCGTGGGAGGTGACAGCAACTCATTTGTTTGTGCTTGTATTGAATGAACTGTATCAAATATTTCTGAATCGTTGATGCAAAACAGCCCTGATGATAGAGAAGATTGAATGAAGTTTTCAAGCAGCACTTCACAACATACTGAGCCAAACGAAGAACGTCGAGGACGTAGCCGTTAGAGTACGACCCTAGTATGGAAAGTCCACCCTCCACTCACCCAAATGTAAGAGCATGCCCCAGGAGGTGTGCTTCTTGCAACGAGTATGAAAATATTGGTGCTATATGGGGCTTGTTAAACTTCGTGATGTGGCTGTGCTAAGGCAATGAGAGACTAAGCGCGAGAAGAGTATGAGGCGAGAGAGCGCAACAGATGAGAGAGCGCCAGACAACAGCCTGATGAAGAAAAAATTGCAGCTTCAGCAGCTTACTTTGCAAGGCCCTAGCGCTCTTGTCGGTTGATTTCCGTGCACGGGAATGCCACATCTGTGATTGTCCTCTAGGGGTCTATCCTACAGACAAGGGAACCGTTCACATGACTTCTGCCTGGATTGTGCCATTAGATTAATATAATGTAGGAGCTACATGATCATGTGAGGCTTTTGCGTAGTCAGAGAGGACCTTTTCATTGGGGTTGGTCTATCACTTTTTATTCCCACTCAACCCCAATGCTCTTCTTCATTTCTGGTATTACCGTGTTCTTTGCAGGTGTAGATTGTCGTTTATAGACGACCAATTCGTGTTTCAAGGGTAGACTGACGAGCATTTGTCCAAAGCTCTCCAATAAGTGGTGCTATTTCTATACAAAGCGTTTTGAAGGTTTATATAAAAGCACTCCTTAAACGGCTTAGTGCTCTTGCTCACTATGCAACGTAGTCAACTCATTCATGATTGGCTAAGGCGCTAGGAGCTGAAAGTTCGTCAAAAGACAAAGTTTTGAAAAACTTAAGCAATACTTTGCAACAAACTTCTGTGTAAAACTGTAGAGCCTTTGAGCCTATAAGTTTTCTGGATCTCATTTAGGAAGGGGGTCGAGGCTGCGTCAGTTTATATCACTTTTTCACAGGGAGGGAAGCTCCGGGGTGGGTGTAAAGTTTGAAGCGAAATGGTTCACGCACCCGGGGATTCCCTCCCTTGCAAAAATTGGAATTTCTGTAGCCGGCAAGAACTGTCACACCACATGCCCCCCCCCTTACTGGATGAGACGTAATATTTTTAAGTCTCGCTGTTGTTATACATTCAAAATCAAAAAAGCCTTTGAAGAGCCGTAGAACGACCACGGACCGCAGTGCCCATATCGAATATTACACTGAAAGATCACACTGGCAAAAGGCCTTATTTGACACGACTCGCGTATTCAGATCAACGCCTATCTCTTTCAACCATCTGGAGTAGTGATTTGGCAAAAGTATTTTACCTGACTTACCTTGATACGGCTTGTCCTCCAAAATTTGGCCCCTGATGAATTGGCCCCGAGCCATCCGTTCTGGCTGTCCACGTCGTTTCCACTGGCAGAACATTTTTATGCCAGGAATTCTATGGAAAAATAAAACGATGATATGATTACTGTCTGGACTCTTTCAGTCGTAAAATAGTAACAGCGATGACTGTAAGGCATCCAAGAACACGAATAATGGCAACGGTGTGGTGCATTTGCATTTTTTGCGTGTAATTACATTACTTTGCTGTTCGAGAGTAGTTTTCGAATTTCTACCGGTTGAAAATGATGACAATGAATTGATGACAATTCTTGATTTGTTTTTGATTGTACTGCTGATTTTGGCCGCGGCTCGCCTTGAGGTTTTGCTATAACATCGATGATGACTCGATGACACTTATTTTTTCACACAGGAAGGTCTTTCAGGGCGTGCCAAGCTTTTTGAAAACGGTCTTTTGCATGATATAGGGGCACATGCGGGAACCACAGAACCATGGTTTAATTTTTCCTGAACGGCCCTCTGA